ACATCCGGCCTGACTGGTAGGCAACCATCACAGCAATTTGACAACAACCACTTCAAAGTATTCACATTAGTATATATATAGTGTAGTCCAAGGCTATTTAACTGGCGGCCCGCGAGCCAAATGTGGCCCGAGGAGGAGGCCTAGCAAGTGGCTCGCGGATCACTGCCATATGTACTGTATCAATGATCTTTCTATGCTGGTGTCACGGCCCCTGGCCCGTAAAGATCCCCATTTTCAATATTCTGGCCTCCTTGTGAGGGTTCCAGGGCCCTATTATAGGGAAAACCAAAAGAGACCCACTTCCTACCAAAAAGCATGTCGTAGAGTCGACTAATTAGGAGCTTCCTTCGAAGTCGGAGTGCATCTGCCTGAGAGGCAAGGAACCAACAGTCTGCATACAAACTAGTCAGATCTGTCAAACGGATGCAGTACTGCAGTCCAGAAGTGGACGAACAACAAGAACTTTCCGCCGAAGTTGACATACAGGTGAACGCGAAAAAAAAAGAAGAAAAATATTTTGGCCCCTGGATGATACCGAATAGTTCTGTACTAGGCCAAGATGACCTGGCTTGTAGCTGATGAGTTTAATCAACCAGTATATTGGGGGGGGGGGTGACAGATTCCATCTCCAGCACGATAACTACAACTTTCGATTTTTATGTTGTCTAGTGTGTTCAGTATTTATACAATTCTAAAACAATCATACGATATGACTGGGTAGGCAATGCCTGACCACAGACTGCCAAAACACATTTTCGTTAGTGAGCTACTAAAAGGAAAACGCTCTCAATGTGGACAGAAGAAACGTTTCAAGGACAGCATCAAGACCTCACTGAAAGACTTTTGGGCTATCTCTAAAATAACGATCACAAATTATCGAGGAGGAAAATATACCTTAACAGAGCCTCAGTCACGTGTCAATTGCGCACTTCCGGGGACTATACCAAAACCACCGAAAATAAAATGAAGGGAGCTGCAGGATATGCGGTAACTGCTGCTCGTGAGTCCCAACCATCTAGTCTAGCCCCAATCCATGCCGCGTTAGCGGCGTGGGGGATAATCTCAGGGGTTGCGGAAGTCACAGGTAGTGCGCAATTTTAGTCGCCGGAAGTGGGCAATTGACAGGTGACTGAGGCTCTGTTACGGTATATTTTTATAACTCGATAATTTGGGACCGTTATTCGGAAGATAGCCGACTTGTGTATTGATCCTAAAACCTGGGAAGTCGCTGAATGTGATGGTGCTCCTCTCTTCATCGAGGAGCCTGTGGGCCCCATCAAGCTGCTTCAGCAGCAGCAATTCAGAGAAGACAAGCCAGGAAAGACACTGAGGCAGATCATCAGAGAGGTACGGCTTCAATTCCCTGCCCACACTGCTCAAGAACTTTCAGTGCTAGAGTTTGCCTTACCAGCCATCTGCGCACTCACAAAACCTCACCCAGACACCATTGGTTGAAAGAACTGGTCATCATCACTCGTGATGGACGAACAACAACAATCTTTCTACTTTTTTCTGCGAAAACATCGTCTATTTGTTTATTATATACAATATCCTGAAGGTGGCTCAGAGGTCAGCTCAGTCTTGTAAAGTGGTTCAGTAAAACTTCAATTAACCGTCACCATGGGGACCAGGGCTGTGACGTATAACCGAATACACTGATTATAGAAATATCTTAACTCTTTCAGTACCAATGCGTCTGTTGTTTACTCTGCACATTATATGCTTTCGTTAACTCATTAGCGCTCATCCATTCGGGACATTAGCCCATTCATTCTATGGTTATCCTTACTGTAACTCATTTTGTTCTGTCCTATTATTATCTGAACCTGTTTAGACCCAGACATGCCTTACTTTAAATAACTAAGTTAGTGAGTATTAAGAGTTAAATTAATGTCTGCCTGAGACTAAAAGTGTTACCACAGTAACGTGATTTCACTATAACGTGATTTTGCTACTGGCTTGAGACAAAAATGAAAAAAAAAATCCTTTAAAAGTGAATATACATTTACTTTGTATTCAATTTTACAAAATATGGATCGCATTACTGTATACTGATCGCAATATAAGCTTCCATACAAAAGTAGTAATGTACAGAAACATAATACTACACACATACATTACTGTAAAATAATATGTCTTTGATGCTTTTGTTTGTTGACATGCAATTTTAGACGATGACAGATAACGGAAATTGACGGTTAAAGAAGTGACAGTTAAAGTTTTACTGTACCAGAAATGTCTCCGAGAAAGTCTCTCTCTCTCTCTCTCTCCCTCTCTCACTCTCTCCCCCCACCCCTCTCTCTCTCTCCCTTCCCCCACCCCTCTCCCCCCCCCCACTCTCTCTTTCTCTCTCTCTGTATATGTGTGTGTGCGTGCGTTTTTTTTTCTCATATCAAGTTGTTACTAACTCTTTTCTCTATGTCGATTCTGGGACATCACTGGGGGACGGCGGAAGACCCACAACAGCTTGTGCAGGGGAGACCTACATAACCCAGGGGAGACCCACTAAACCCGGGGGAGGGGTGGCACTAAACCAAACCTTAGGTGGGGGAAGACCTACTAAACCCGGGGGAGGGGGGCTCTAAACCAAACCTTGGGTGGGGGGAGACCTACTAAACCCGGGGGAGGGGAGGCTCTAAACCAAACCTTAGGTGGGGAAAGACCTACTAAACCTGGGGGAGGGGAGCTCTAAACCAAACCTTAGGTGGGGGAGACCTACTAAACCCGGGGGAGGGGGGAGCACTAAACCAAACCTTAGGTGGGGGGAGACCTACTAAACCCGGGGGAGGGGGGGGGGCTCTAAACCAAACCTTGGGTGGGGGAGACCTACTAAACCCGGGGGAGGGGGGGCTCTAAACCAAACCTTGGGTGGGGGGAGACCTACTAAACCCGGGGGAGGGGGGGCTCTAAACCAAACCTTGGGTGGGGGGAGACCTACTAAACCCGGGGGAGGGGGGCTCTAAACCAAATCTTAGGTGGGGAGAGACCTACTAAACCCGGGGGAAGGGGGCACTAAACCAAACCTTAGGTGGGGGGAGACCTACTAAACCTGGGGGATGGGGGCACTAAACCAAACTTTAGGTGGGGGAGACCTACTAAACCCAGGGGATGGGGGCACTAAACCAAACCTTAGGTGGGGGGAGAACCTACTAAACCCGGGGGAGGGGGGCACTAAACCAAACCTTAGGTGGGGGAGACATACTAAAACCCGGGGAGGGGGGCTCTAAACCAAACCTTGGGTGGGGGAGACCTACTAAACCTGGGGGAGGGGGGCTCTAAACCAAACCTTGGGTGGGGGGAGACCTACTAAACCCGGGGAAGGGGGGGCTCTAAAAAAAAACCTTGGGTGGGGGGAGACCTACTAAACCCGGGGAGGGGGGGGGCACTAAACCAAACCTTAGGTGGGGGGAGACCTACTAAACCCGGGGGAAGGGGGCACTAAACCAAACCTTAGGTGGGGGGAGACCTACTAAACCTGGGAGATGGGGGCACTAAACCAAACTTTAGGTGGGGGGAGACCTACTAAACCCAGGGGATGGGGGCACTAAACCAAACCTTAGGTGGGGGGAGACCTACTAAACCCAGGGGAGGGGGGCACTAAACCAAACCTTAGGGGGGGGAGACCTACTAAACCCGGGGGATGGGGGCACTAAACCAAACCTTAGGTGGGGGGAGACCTACTAAACCTGGGGGATGGGGGCACTAAACCAAACCTTAGGTGGGGGGAGACCTACTAAACTCGGGGAAGGGGGGGCACTAAACCAAACCTTAGGTAGGGGGAGACCTACTAAACTCGGGGAAGGGGGGGGGGGCTCTAAACCAAACCTTAGGTGGGGGAGACCTACTAAACCCGGGAAGGGGGGCACTAAACCAAACCTTAGGTGGGGGAGACCTACTAAACCCGGGGGAGGGGGGGCTCTAAACCAAACCTTAGGTGGGGGGAGACCTACTAAACCCGGGGGAGGGGGGGCTCTAAACCAAATCTTAGGTGGGGGGAGACCTACTAAACCCGGGGGAGGGGGGCACTAAACCAAACCTTAGGTGGGGTGAGACCTACTAAACCCGGGGGAGGGGGGCACTAAACCAAACCTTAGGTGGGGGGACCTACTAAAGCCTAATAAGCATGTCATAAAAAACAAATTTAGGAGTTTGCAGAAATAATGGACAAAATGTAGCCTGATGCAGCAGGGCAAACAGAAAAGAATAGAATATGGAGATGGCAAAGACGATAAAGAAATACTATATTCTGTGCAAGGGATTACATTTGACCAAATTTGTAAAGTTTTAATGTGATTAAAATATTTACTTTTTTATCTTGTCATATTTTAATGGGGGCGTCATACATACGGAGTAAAATATGGTAATTATTTATGTACTACCATAAACAAGAAAAGCCATGACTTGACAAAAGAAAGAACAAGAAAAGCCATGACTTGACAAAAGATGGGACAAGAAAAGCCATGAAAGAACAAAAGACAGGACAAGAAAAGCCAGGACAGGACAAAAGACAGAACAAGAAAAGCACCAAGAGGAAAAAATAAGTCAGGAGAGGGCAAAAGACAGGACCCAAAAAAAGATATTAGAGGATAAAGGACAGAACAAGAAAAGCCAAGAGAGGACAAAAGACAGGAGAAGAAAAGAAATTACAGCACAAGAAAAGCCCCAAGAGGACAAGAGGCAGGACAAGAAAGACATGAGAGGACAAAGGACAAGTCAAGATAGGACAAAAGACAGGACAAGATAAGACAGGAGAGGACAAATGACAGGACAAGACAAAACAGAACAGGACAAAAGACCAGATGAAACAAGAGGAGACTGGACAAGACAAAACAGAACAGGACAAAAGACCAGATGAAACAAGAGGAGACTGGACAAAACAAAACAGAACAGGACAAAAGACCAGATGAAACAAGAGGAGACTGGACAAGACAAAACAGAACAGGACAAAAGACCAGATGAAACAAGAGGAGGCTGGACAAGACAAAACAAAGTGTACTCACATCCTCATAGAACTTGAGCTGTGGAACTGGCTCCTCATAGACATTGTCACAAAAATCCTTGAATAATAAAAACCCTGTGGAAGACATTGAAACAACAAGATGATAGTGCATACAGGGAGGCAAATGAGAAAGGACAGGAGAAAGGAATTTAATATGAAACATGGTAGGGAAAGGAAGGGAGAATAGAAAGTGGGCAATTTGTTAGGGAAAAAGGGGAAAGAATTCTGAAGTGAGAGAAAAGAGGAAAGGACAAAATATGAGACATGGTAGGAAAGGAGAAGAGCAAGGAAAAGTACAGCAAGATGAGAAGTCAGAGAAGAATAAAAGGTAAAATGGAGAGAAGGAAAGCAAGGTTAAGATGGAGGAATCAGAAAGATAAGAACGGCTGGAAAATAAAAGGGTGGGAATGGAGGAAAGGGGAAATATAATAAGAAAAAATGGAGGGAATGAAGGAGAATGTAGGGAAAGGAAGGACAGTACAGAATGAAATGAGAAACAGTGATGAAGGGAAAGTTGAGAAATGAAGGTCCTGAGAAAAGAGTAAGGGGTAGAGGAAGACAGGGATAAGATAGGAAGGAAATTAAGGCTGGGGTGTAGGGATTAATAAATTACAAAAGAAGTAAATCAATTAGGCAGCTAACATGAACATCAAGGAGAACTGGCTCGTAAACAGCATCCTCTCCCAAAAGTTGAGGTATTTGTGACATGTCAAGCGCCATGATCCTCTGGAGAAAACGGTGGTGGAAGGTGAGGTTTCTGGAATATGAGGCAGAGGCAGAGCACCGTAAAGGTAGATGCCGATCACTGAAGATGCACTAGCTATGAAAGAATACAGGGCTGGAGAAAGACGACTTTCAGGGGTGCCGTGAAGACAGAGGACTGACTGACTGATTGATTTATTGACTGACTGACAGATTGGCTGGTTGACTGATTGACTGGCTGATGGACTGAGTGATTGATTGGTTGATTGACTGATTTGATTGAGTGATTGGCTAACTGATTGACTGATTCATTCATTCATTCATTGACTGACTGATTGAGTGAGGAAGGTGAAGAACAAAAGAAAAAATTAGACTGCAAAACAACAACAAAAGGGCAAAGAAAACAAAAAGGGATTGAGCTAGAGAACAATACAAAACATGTAACATGTACACACACAAAAAGACATCAAGAGTTAAATATGTCTACAAAAACATGATCATTACATACAAAAATAATGGCTTCATTTTTCTATACATACAAATATCCTATTCTATAATCACAAACACTATTCTATACACATAAACTATTCTATACACAAACTAATCTATGCAGAAAAACTCTGACGCCAATGAAGACTCACCTATCCTCTGGTTGAAGATTTTGTCAAAGGTCACCTCGTTCACTTTCAGCAGATGTTTGTGCATGATACTACGAACGCTGTGATTGAAAGAAAATGTTGAATGTCAAAGGTTCTGCATTCTGTCAGGTCAGTTCAATGTACATGTACGTTCAAACCGTATTTCATTCCAAGTTTAACAAATGCAGAAGTGGTGGTGGTGGCGGTGGTGCTGAAGTTGGCTGTTCCTTGCCGTTTGGGCAGATGCACTCTGACTTTGAAGGAAGCCCCCAATTAGTCGACTCCTATGACATGCTTGTTGGGAAGATAGTGGTTCTATTTTTGTTTTCCCCACATTTGGACCCCAGAACCCACACAGGAAAAATTATCACAGACTGTAGGAGTACAGATGGTTAAGTTTTATATATTTTAAGTGCACTTTTGAACTAATTGTGATAATCATATTGTGTAACCTTTCTTAAGGAACAGTTACAGGCATTATGCTAAAACGAGATTTGTCTCACAAGTGACGTTCAATAAAATATTAGAAAACTGTGTCCCAAAATTAAGCCGACTTTTGCATATGTTATATAAAAATCAGCGATTATTAATAGAGGGCAAATTAAGCAGATTGACAACTAATTTATTTTCTCTGTATGCTTAGTCGAATACATAAAGCACGTCAGCAGAGGCACTGTGCGTGTGTCACATGATTTCGGTTCATCATCATCATCAATTTCCACTTCTGCCGTTAAGCGTTGTGGGGAGGAACAGTTTGCGATCCATTGCTTGATGGGCAACAAAGGCTACTGTCATTCAGTGTCAAAACCCCTGTGTGGGTTCCGTCGCCCCATTGTGGGGAAAACAAGAATAGACCCACTGCCTCCCCAAAAGCATGTCGTAAGAGTCGACTAATTGGGGAGCTTCCTTTGAAGTCGGAGTGCATCTGCCGGAGAGGCAAGGAACCAACAGTCTGTATTCAAGAGAATGAGATCTGTAAAACTGATGCACACGCAACACTCAGGTTCTGGAGCTGGACTGCAGTTCAGTAATGGACGAGAAACCAGAACTTTCCGCCAGAGTGTACAGCTGGTGTACGCGAAGAAGAAAGAAGATACAGTGTCGATGTAGCAGCTCTTGAATGTTATCAATCCATGTTCTCTTACAACGGCTTTGTTGCTTTCACTTCAGATCTGTTCATGTGCAGCACCTGCATTGCTGTTCTGGCTGCATTCTTACGAAATGACCAAACCATTCGATCTTCTGTTTCTCAGTGAATCTGCTGCATGGTGTTGTTCCTACAGTCTGTCTGATATTATCATTTCTAGCTTTGTCTCAGATGGTTAAGTTGGCGGCTTTCCTCAGGCATCTTATTTCACAGGTGTTAATTTTACGTAGGTAAGCCTCTGATAATGTCCAAGTCTGGCACTAACAGTACAGTGTTGGTATGAATATGCTGTTATAATCTGTTTCTTGGCGCTCATACCAATGTTTGGATGTCTCAATAATGGTGTCAGTTGACACATTTAAATTCCTGAACCTGCTTCAGACAAATACCTTTCAGCCCGATATGTAGCGGACTAGGAATCCTGCTGACCTACATGACTTCAGCTTTAGTTGTATTTATTTTCAAGTTATATCTTCTGCACGTTGAACTTAGCCTGTTCAGATGTTCTTGCAGTCTACTCCCCTCATTGTAGAACAGGCTTTGATTGTCTGCAAATAGTAGCTTATTTATTGTATGTGGATCTAGTTCTTCATCTGGAAAGTAAAGTTCCTAATTTTCTGGATTTCTGTGCCGACTGCTTTAAAACTGGCTTCTTCTAATATTCCTTCTATGTATACAGTAAATAATAAAGGAGAAAGCACACATCCCTGCCTCACCCCTGTATTGATTCTAAACATATCAGACAAGCCTTCTTGTGTTCTCACTGCGTTTTGGAAAGTGTGTACATGGCAACAATGTTATCTAGCAACTGTCCTTGAATCCCATCATCCTCAAGAATGGCCCATAGTTTGTGTCTAAGCTATTTCTTGATTTACAAACACAATATTCAATTCATCATCTTATTCAATGGTTTTCTTGCAAACCTGTATTAGGTAAAGAATGCATCTGTGCAACCATTTCCTTTCCTGGAACAAAATTGTAATGTACTTAGATGCTGTTCCACTACAGGTTTAACTCTGCTCTAATAATTATGAGGTATATACCTTTAAATAACTTTTTTTCCTAGCTTTCTAACACTCTCAAGGGTAGTCAAATTAAGTTTGGCATTTATTTTAACATATATCAGGAAAGTTGCGTCTTGTGGTTTTTACAGCAAGCTTTTAAGAAGCAATTCTAAAATCATACCCTAGCAGTGCTAAAATAACATGGCTCTCTTTGGCGCTGAAGGGTTTTTGGTTTTTGTTTTAACTTAACTACATCAATTTCAACTCTCACCTCCCTCCACTAACAGTAAATGCATAACTGCAATCAGTATTCATGTTGGTATTTATGTCTAATCTGTCATCCTCTTAAACACGAGTGCAAGCCTTTTATTTAACAACTGTATGTGGCAAAGTAATACAATGTGGAAACGTTTTAGGGCTAGATGGTGGCCGCAATTATGGCAACTGGCTGTAAACAATGACAGTGACTTTTATTTATTCTGAAATATTAAACAACCTACTTGAGTTACAATAAATGCATACCTGAAGTAAACATATATTGCATTTCGATTTCTGTGTGTGGAGTGGGGGTAAAGAACATAAATTAATAAACAAATAACACTGCAATAATAATAATTCACCAACCGACAATAAAGGAAGACAAACACAAAAGGGAAGTACCTAATGAAGTATCTTAAAGAAGATACTACTTTCTGGTTTTTAAATGGAGTTAATAAATTAAATAAAACTAAGTGGCATTTTTTTAAATGCATCCAATTAAGTTGTAAAATTATTTAGCTGACTAGCTCAAATTTTCGTCTGGTTGATTTACAAAAAAATTATATTTTTACAGCTTTACTACATTTCTTATTAATATCCTACCCCAAACAGGGAAAATCCACGGGACAGTCAAATATTTCAGGGGGTGGTAGACAGACTGAATGCAGACCTAGGCTGCTCTCTCGTGGGACGTAGGTGGGTTGGGGTTAGGGCCAGTTCTAGATGTTTTGGGGTGATTAAAAGCATCAGAAAGCCTGAAAACCCAGTCTCACCACCCTCTAAAAGGTTAGACTGTACTGAGACGTCATCTGAGGTAGGATATTGCAAAAGAACCCTAATTAAATTCAGGCTAAAAATTTGGCAAGTGGGGCTCAGACACTTTTACAAAATATTATATAGTTCGTATTATCTGCCTCTAATCATATAATGGAGAGCCATTTTGAATTTTAATGTGATTATATGACAGAATATGTAGAATATTATTATTTATTTTATTGGGTGTCACTGCCATAAACACTGTGATACATGGTTGCTAGGATGTCTGGTCATAAACAAACAAGTCACAGCATATCAAGTATTTGGACAATCTGAAGGTGATAAAATGTATTTTCCTCTTTGTTCCTATTATTTATATAACTGATCACATACAGGAAATCTAGGTTCAGAATTGATGTACAATAAAAAGAACTCCACAGGGGAGCACGTACAGCAGTGGTCCACCAATAATCAGTAGAAAGATCTCTCGTCGACGATTGTTTCTGCCCGTTACCATCCTACACAATCTTGGAAGGTGGGCCGACCTGGGTCATGACTCCCAGGCCTCGATCTTCCCCTGCTGAACTTTACCGGATGTTTTCGGACAGGGACAAGATGATATGGTGACTTGTAACGTGTTGAGAACAAATATGGGTTTATAATTGTACACAGTTGAATGAGATACCGCTGCATTGCATTTGTCAATATCTACCAAACTATGCCAGTTGTATTATTTAAAAATAATTCTGAAAATCTGACTAGAGTATCTTATGTTAAATGTGATCTAGGATGCCGTTATTCTGCAAACCTTTGTTCCTTTGACCAAACTTTGTTTAATCCTCCCCTGTAGTTGTTCTGTTGAGATATTTGTCCCCAACCTGTTTTCTATTGTCACAGGCCTATCTCACAAGTAATATATTTATTAAAGATGTCCTTTCGAATTTTTTTTGCCAAAACTTAAATAGTGTTGAATAATTTAATGACCTTTCTGTTTCTGACCGGTAATGGTTTATGACAAACAGTTTATGACCCTACTTTTTTCAAATGGTTTATACAACGGATTAACATCATGGCACAAGGGTAGTAACCCATAAGGTTACTGGGTTGTCCGAAGAATCTCACGAAGAATGCACGAACTCTGTAGCACTCCCGAGGATCCTGAAATATTGTGTGTAGACTTTAAACTCAAAATTTTGACGTGGAAGCGCCGTTGTTATTCTACTCTTTCCAATTTCCACTGCCAGGGGATTTTTTACATGCACTACTCAATACACATAGGCGTCCGGTCTTACTATCCAGAGACCAAGGGAAATTATTAGAAGTCCACGTGAAATAATTTCAGCCTTTACCGAGGCTTGAACCCGGGATCTGCAGCACTCGAGGCAGGCGGACACACTCGAGACCACTCACTCAGCCACCCATTTATTTTGCAAATGCTACTAACTTAACTACTCTATTTGAGTGAGACAAGCTGATTTAAAAAGCATTTACAATATTCCTCAGGAACAAACGTGAGCAGTTCTGGAAGTGGGCCGAGAAAGATGTAAACACAGTTATTGTCATTTACTGCTAGATGCATGTTTGGCAGTGAGCAAACGAAAATAACCGCACATCCGCTCCACCATCACAATGATTACATTTGAAATTCTCTACAAATTCTTGCAATATCTCACCCGTTTGAATCTCACATACATACCTGGGGTCTGGAAGGATAATTTTCTTGCTAGCTCTCGCAGCTGGAGTTGATTTACTCTTCTCCATAGCCATGAGATAGCTAACGTCTGCAAGTACTGCTTCAAGATCCGCCATTTTCACTGGCTTGGCTGGAGATCAAGCAGCCTTGCTCGCAAACTTTCTTAGCAAACTTTCTACAAACTCCTCAAATCCAACCGTTTCTAACGGTCAAGAATCATTCTGTACTGAACGCACATCACAAATATGGGTAATATTCCTAAAAAAATAAAGCGCGAATTCGCAATCCAAGGAAGGAGAAGCCAGCCCGTCGGCTCACTCTCAACATAGAATGTAAATATTAATTAGTTGACGTGCAAGGGCGTATGGGAAATCTGGAATGTTAATCGGCCGCCATTGGACCAACGGTTTATGACAAATCGATAGTTCAGCTTCAGTGTTTTACTTTGCAAATAGGGATGGACAGAATGGGATAAAATACACAAATTATGAAACTAATGGGGCAGAAGATGCCACATTTACACACAAAATACGGTATTTTAAGTTCGGGGCAGAATGAGAGACAAAGGTGTCTTCGTGTTGGAGTCTGCTCTTCAACCGTTTATGACAAATCAATAGTTCAGCTTCAATGTTTTATTTTGCAAACTGAGATGGACAGAATGGGAAAAATAAACATTTTTTTAAAAATAAAAAGGGCAGAAGATACCATATTTACAAAAATAAGGTGTCTTAATTTGGGCACAGCAGGAGCGACAAAAGTCTCAGAGTTAAGTGCCGTTATGTCAGTTAAAGGTCAGCTTTTCGACCGTTTATGAAAAATCGATATTTCAGCTACAGTGTTCTGCCTTGCAAATAGAAATAGACATAATGGGACAATAATGAACACATTATTAAAGAAAAGGGGGAGACTATATCACTATTCACAAACAATACAAAACTGTCTTAATTTGGACACAGTACAAGATACGAGGTTCTCGTTGTTAAGTGCCATTTCGTCTGTTGACGGTCAGTTTTTCGACCGTTTATGACAAATCGATATTCCAGCTTGGCTGTTTTACTTTAAAATTGTAGAAAGACAATGGGGATCGAATTCACAATGAAAGAAATTGACTAGGACAGACTACTATCCACAGGTAATACGAAAGCAAACTGTCTTAACTTTGATGACGTAAATAGGAATGATAGACAGAGAGCTGATTTTTCAATCCCGAATACATCTACTGATATAGACTTTGGTCGAAACGTTTGGTTGTGAATGTGTGTGTCTTCCATTCCCTCCGTTACGCTTTATATTCATAGTTTGTGCTGCATTTAGTATGTGTTTGCATGGGCACAGAACGAGACACGAATCTTTAAATGTCATTTTCCTATACTGAAGATCGGCTTTGTAAGTTTCTAACACATTATGTTTCTTTTCTTAATGCTACATTCGTACAGATTTCACCCAACCCGCTTCTTTGTTTACATTCTTCTGTAAGCTTTTTATTATTGTGCACTTCTTCATTTCAACCACCGTGGTGTAGTGGACAGTGCTTCACCTGCGGATCCGAAAGTCGTGAGCTCACATCCGAACGGTGCTGGAATTTTTTTTACGACCTTGGCTGCCAGGTTGATTCAGCCTTAAATAAATACCAGGGAAACGCCCCGGGGGATCAAGGGGCCTGGTCTGATACTGATTACATAACTCACCAAGTGCCGATTGGTCTATAAAATGTCAGCTCAGCTCAGAGTTTGTTTAACATGTTGAAAGAAATAATGCTTGCTCTCGACTTTTCTTCTTTTCTTTTCTTTTTTCCTTCTTCTTCTTCTTCTTCTTCTTTTTCTTCTTCTTCTTCTTCTTCTTCTTCTTCTTCTTCTTCTTCTTCTTCTTCTTCTTCTTCTTCTTCTACTACTACTACTACTTCTTCTTCTTCTTCTTCTTTGCATTCGCCGGCTGTTGACTCCAGTGGAAAGTTTTGGTTGTTTGTCCATTTCTATAATTTAATGTTATTTCAGGTTTAACAGCTCTGGCTTATGTGTAAGCAGGCTTTTGGTTCCTTGCCCCCAGACAGATGCACTCCGACTGCAAAGGAAATCCCTCATTAGTCTCCTACGACACGATTATCAAAAAAGAAATGGGTGTATTCATATCACCCCCACCCACCCACCACACCACCCCCCATCCCCCACAATGAGGTCCCAGGACCCACAAGGGATCTGGACTTTTGATATATGTTTTTACTTTGAAAATTTTATGAAGTGATTTTCTTATCATGATCTATTTTTATCGCGAGTATTGAATCTCACGAAGGAGCAACAGTGAAATAAAGAAAACAAAAAACTTTTGAGGTAGAGTCTGCTGTTTGTTTTAGTTATGTGTTTTCAGGATCTCCAACTTAATCTATTTGTTGTAAAGTTTTATGTAGCTTTCATGAAGCCAAGCTTGCCTCTGTGAATGTCTTTTCTTCTACAAGCGGCTCACTGTAGCGGAATTTACAACCGAACGTTGTATTGATAGTAAATCGATATCTGTGCTTCGATGTTATCTTTAGATTGTTTAGATTACAGCACCGTGAAGCTTTCAGCCAGCTTAAAAATATCTACTCCTTTTTTGTACGATGTTAGTTATTGACAAAATTTGTGTTGTTGCTTTTCTGCTGTATTATTTATACGGCTGTTTGGTTTAGTGAAGATGGGTGGGGGCTAAAGAAGTAAGGATGGATAGGGAATATCCATCCTTATTGTGGTAAGATTCTCAGAATATCTTGCACAAAGAAGATGAGAAATATTGACATCTTAAAAGATCTGAACATCAAGGAAGATTGGCTAATAAACAGTATCCTTTCTCGAAAGCTGAAATATTTTGGTCATATCAAGCGCCACGACGGATTGGAAACAATTATAGCAGAAGGCATGGTACCAGGAAGGAGGGGCCGACCGACACGAAGATGGGCACAGGATATAAGTGACTCCTTGAGTATGAAAGTATATGAGGCGGGAGAACTGGCGAGAGACCGAGTTTCTTTCAGGCAGACAATAGTTTTAGCCATTCCTTTTCTTTCTCTTTTTGATTCCTGTTTCACTTCTGCAATCACTTTTCTTTTTACTACGTGTACAAGTCAAGAGAAGCTTCTCACTTGTTCTACTATCTCTCCGTTGGCCACTCATTTCTGCTGTAATTATCATATTTTTTTGGGAATGATAATGTCTAAACTATACATAAAGTCTGCATTATTCACCAAACGCTATAGCTATGCATGGGGCTTGTCGGACCAGCATTGCATGACCAGTACACATCAACGTATCAAACAAACATACATACACACTGATGCAAACAATTCTGTGACAGCGTCAAAAAAAAATGTCGTAAGTTTTACTTGTGGAATCACAAATAATAAATGAGTGAAAAAAAAATAAAGGCTCCAGGGGGAGTCGAACCCTCGACCTTCTGCTTACTAGGCAGACGCTCTAACCAACTGAGCTATGGAGCCAGTGATTGTGGGTGCTTAAAACAATTAGATATAAAGAACATAAAGATTGTACACAATATCAGTATAGTCATATAGTATAGTTGTAGTATATGTCATTGAATGTCATTAGTATATGTCATTGAATATAATAAGTAAATTAAGAGTCATGTATTGATTAACATTCACAAAAAACTATAAAGACACACAAGACCAGGCCATGTCAAACAGGCGGGTTGCATACGGCACTTGCAAGCAAACCTGCGGCCCGTACAAAAGAAATATTGTGCAATAATTTACATTTATTTATTTATTATAATCAATTCGGCATGATGCTGACCCCATTACCCATCTTGTGCCGATTGGTCTATAAAAAATAGGTCTAGCCCAATATGCCCTATACTCCTAAGGCGTGGAAAAGGGTCCTCTACTTTTTTTTCAATTTAAAATAAATTGCCTCAATTAGTTGTTTGGGGCGCTTCCTTGTGACAACACAAAAATGACCCACGTGCCCCTTGGGAGGACCCAGGTCCGGCTGTAAATAGAAATGGACACTAGGCAGCGGCACTGTTCGAAACAGAGGCAAATTTTTTACTCTTGCCGGACGGTGGCCGATGCATTTTTGCTCCATTTGTAGACTGGATATAGTTTCGTCGCCCAGCTTCTGAGTTGAATGCATGGCGTGACACTGTGAGCTGCGGATTTCATTTGGAATGTTTTTTTCGACTGTGACCAACGTGGTGGTGTGAATTGTAAATTCAGAAAACGGTGCGATGTCTGTTGTCGCAATGTTGGTGGTGCCCATATGTGATCAAAATTTATCGCGTGGGCAACTGCTGATCTGTTGGTGACTTCTGCTACCATCAATGATGAACTCCATTTCTAATGTCGGACTGTTTGTGTTAGTACTTAAATTCGAGTGTATACTAGATAGGCTGTGACAGCAGTCTGTCAATCTTTCCACAAGGGACTGTGATAAACATTCTGTGTGTTTTTTTTTTGTGGCACAGGAGCGAGCAAAGATGGGGTGACCCGTTTGCTATGAAGCGTGAAACTAAGACTACCAGACTACCACTACCAGACCAGACTACCAGAAAAAGGCCGTGGGAGGACCCTCGATTTGACATGGCTGCCTTCAAGAACATTCAAATCGAAAGCCTGGAATCAAACCTGTCACCTCTAAATGACGACAGAGTCTCGCTGCACAAGCAAGTCACGTCTGACTTTAGCTCTTACAGCTGGAGCCGGTCGTTAGCAAGTCTATTTGAAACGCGCGACCATTTAGCAGGGCCAGATTTGCGGCCTTAAAATATATATAAATATAATGTGTCGCCCAGCTTCTGAGTTGAGTGCATGGTGTGACACTGTGAGCAGCTGATTTCATTTGGAATGCTCTTCTACTGCGACTAATGTGGTGGTGTGAATTGTAGATTCAGAAAATGACGCGATTTCTGTTGTCGCAAAATTGGTGGTACCATTATGTGATTAAAATTGATCGCGTGTGCAACAACTGATCTGTTGGGGACTTCTATTACCATCCATGATGAACTGCATTTCTAATGTCGGACTGTTTGTGTTAGCACTTCGGATGGCTACCGTATGCTTTTTATGCGTTTTTATGCTAGTGCATTTGCTGAGACAGTAGTCTGCCAATCTTTCCACAAGGGATTG